ACTTTACAACCAAAACTTTTGAAACTTCAGATGTGATTACATTCGAACAATGACCACTAACAATAAACCAATGACAACAGCTGAAGTTATCACAGCAAAGAGGACACAAAGTCCTTGACATATTTAATTTTGTTTCAAAAGTCACATAAAAAAATACCTGCATCCCCAGCTAGTACATAATGTTTAAAACATTTTTTTTTATAAATATTTATACAAATATATATATTTTCAATAAATAAATATATAATAACAATACTACTACTACTTTTACTACTACTACTACTACTACTATTAATACAAATAATAATAATGATAATGATAATGTTCCCACTAAAAAATGCCATTGATAATTTATTCATTCATTTTCTTGTTGGCTTAGTCCCTTTATTAATCCGGGGTCGCCACAGCGAAGTGAACCGCCAACATAGTCAGCAAGTTTTTATGCAGGGGATGCCCTTCCAGCCACAACCCATCTCTGGGATTCATCCACACACACATTCACACACACACACACACTCATACACTACTGAAAATTAAGCCTACCCAATTCACCTGTACCGCATGTCTTTGGACTGTAGGAAACTGGAGCACCTGGAGAAAACCCATGCGAACGCAGGGAGAACATGCAAACTCCACATAGAAACACCAACTGAACTGAGGCTCGAACCAGCGACCCAGCAACCTTCTTGCTGTGAGGCGACAGCACTACCTACTGCGCCACTGCTTCGCCCACCATTGATAATAATACATTACAAACCAAGTATACAAGTATACCAGTGACACGTCTTGTGTATCCTATAATCTTTGTTTTTATTTATAGTGGAGTTTTCTTATCCTATGAGAAGAGCCTGCTTCTCAATTATTCATGACTCTTGACTTGACACGTGCTTTCCGAAGGCAAGGCAGACCTGCCAAGCTGTGAGACCGCATCCACGCTGGGCAGGCAGTATTTAGCCGTTCATGAAGAGTCATATGTGTTGGTTTCCATGAACAACAGGGTTTGTTGCATGTTTTTCCCGCGATGCTGTCAGGGCAGATACAGCAAGCTGTTGGTTTGCAGCAAGCATTTTTGTCGAGAGAGCTGTACAAGAACTGGAAAATGGCAGACTTTGTCTCTTATCAGTTGAGTTTGTTACCATTCAGACAAATCACCTATATCTGTGCTGCTGTGTTCACCTACAGTATGTTTAAAATCCTTCAGATTACCAGCAGGGCTAATGGTTGAAATAGATAGGGCAAGAGACCTGCTGCACTGCTATCCACTGTGTCTGCATTGAGACCCAGGGAATGAGGAGGAGAGAAGTCCTCCTCATTTACAGTGTTTATATAAACATGATTATCTTTATATGTAGCAGGACATTAAATTACTTATTGTTTATTTCTTTGGATTTTAACTTTAAAAACTATGAAATCATGTGTCTCCTCACGGTTTGTGTCTTATTTTGTGGGCCAACTGACAGTTGTTTGCCCTCTTTTTCCCCTGCTCTGCCGGCCAAGCCCACTCCTCCCTCTGCTCACTGACGTGATCTGAAAGAGGAGGGTTTCATGGCTCTTTAATGGAACATTCAATTTTACCATTTTATGTTGTCTGAATAAAAAACAACAACATGTGAGACAAAACATTTAAGAAAAAAAATGTTAATCTGTAAATTGTGTTTTTGTGGTAAATATCAAACAAAACATCACTTCAGTTAAAATGTTCTGTAAATGTTAGTGGCAATGTTCATAACTGTGAGGAAAATTTTGAGAAAGTTCCCTCTTAACTGGATAGGTTCTTAATCTGCTAAATGCCTAGCCTGTGCTTCCAATAAGAATTTAACTTAACTACTGTGTATAAAATAATTCATGTGTTTTGACATAATCCTCAGTCTGGAAGAACAGACTAAATCATCTTCCTTTTTTCCTGGAGAAATGCCTGGGGTGGAGGAACTACCAGAGTGACTCCAACTTTCCAGCTATGCATTTCTTCCTACACCTTTTAACAAGCACCAAAGTTCCTGAGATAATATCTTAGCATGGAGTCTCCACTGTTTCAAAGCACTGTCTAAGCCCTTGACTGCACCCTGTGTTTACTCAAAAAGAAAACAGCTTAACCAGCGACTGCATATGCAAAGTTTTATAGGCAAGCCCTGTATTACAATCATAGAACTTTGAGAAGTGTAATTTGGTATAAAGAGGAACATGCAAGAGTTCAAAGTCTGAGCTATAAAGATTGTCTGACTGTTTCTCTCACATTGTTATGGCTGATACTTCCTTGTTTAACTTAATGGTGACGCATACAAATTTCAGCATAATTAAAAAAAAAATGTTTGTTTATTTTTAAAACACAATTTGAAATGTTTTAGATTAAATTAGATTCTTCATAAAAAGCAAGGGTCATGAGATGTTCAAGAAAAACAAACACAGTCAAAACATTCCATCTGCTTTGACTGTGATTTTGGCTTCTTAGACTTTGAACATTTCAGGACTCTTGCTGTTTATGGAGGGACAGATAGCGCACAGATTTAATCTAAAAAATCTTAATTTGTGTACAGAGGATGAAGGTCTCAGGGGATTGAATCAAAATGAGGGTGAATAATTAATACCAGAATTTTCATTTTTTGTTGATCTAAGCCTTTAAATATATTACTGCAGATGTTTACATACAGATGAGGGCTATTATTAGTCCTCCTGTGCAATATTTTTTGTTCTTTTCATAAATTTTTTGAAGCAATATTTAACGGAGTAAGGTCATTTTTGCAGTATTTCTTATATATATTTTTTACTTCAGAAGAAAATCTTACTTGTTTTATTTATTAAAAAACATTCATTCATTCATTCATTCATTCATTCATTATCCTTCAACTCTGATTTATCAACGACTCAGATAGGTCATCGAAGCGTAATGAACCACCAATTTTTCCGGTATGTGTTTTACACAGCAGATGTCCTTTCAATCACAACCCAGAATAGTTGGAATAGTTGGCGACCTCTGAAATAGAGACTAGACTGAAGGAAAATGAAAGAATATATTTTAAGGTCAAACTTGTTAGGCCTCTAAAGCATTTTTTCGATAGTCTACAAAACACACCACTATAACTGTAATGACTTACCTTTTTAGCCTTATTTGCTTAATTAACCTAATTAACCTAGTTACAGTTGAAGTCAGAATTTTTAACCCCCCTGGATTATTAGCACCAGCGCCCCCTGTTTATTTTTACCCCCAATTTCTGTTTAACAGAGAGAAGATTCTCAACACAACTCTAAACATAATAGTTTTATTAGCTTATTTGTAATAACTGATTTAGTTTATCTTTACTATGATGAAAATAAATAATATTTTACAACATATTTTTCAAGACACCTCTATACAGTTTAAAGTGACATGTAAAGGCTTAACTAGGTTAATTAGGTTAACTAGGCAGGTTTCCTTACTCTGTTAAACATCATTTGTGAAATATTTAAAAAAGAAAATCAAAGGGGGGCTAATAGTTCTGACTTCAACTGTCATTCATTCATTCATTCATTTTCTTGTCCGCTTAGTCCCTTTATTAATCCAGGGTTTACACACAGAAATGCCAACTGAGCCGAGGTTCAAAACTAGTGACCTTCTTGCTGTGAGGCGACAGCACTACCTACTGCGCCACTGCCTCGCCCTACTTCAACTGTAGGTCTTTAAATTACACTTTAAGCTGAATACCAGTATCTTGAAAAATATCTAGTAAAATATTATGTAACCCATGCGAACACGGGGAGAACATGCAAACTCCACACCAAAATGCCAACTGGTGAAGAAGGGACTCGAATCAGCTCCCTTTTCGCTGTGCGACAACAGTGCTCACCACTGAACCACCATGCCACTTTGCATGACAAATAAATGTAAATAAAATACCATGTATTTTAAGGACTAGCTTCTCTCCTTTCAGCAGAAACAAAGTAAACGTTACTCTCACTGAACTCTGTATTTCTTCTAATCACTAGGTCTGTGTATTATATGGGTGTCTTTTAGAACTACAATGAGGAAATGCTAGTATGTTATCAATGAGTGTGTGTTTAGGTGTGTTTGGATTAGAGCACCCATGAAAAAATGCCAGTATGTTATCATTATGTGTGTTTCTGTGTGTGTAAATGTGTGTTAGGATTGCATTTTATGAAAAAAGGTAGTTATTTATAAATGAAAGAAAGCAACAACACTGATTTGTTAGGTGCATTAATAAAATATATGCAAGTATAACACACATGATTTCTGTGATAATTTATAGAATGTTGCTGCAGTTTTTTCACAAACACGGAAGGTGTTTCCTGTGTTGCTTCCTCCTTCTTTACAGCATCTTTACCACAAACCCAATGTTTGTCTCAGTTGGGTGTGTGTTTCTATGGTAACAAGTGATAATTATGCACAAGGGGCTGAGGATGAGTAATCAAAAGTAGAAATACACACCACATGACATACAGTACCATTCAAATATACAAGTTGATCTAATAGCCACAGCATGTAAATAATACAAAAATACAAAATGAATGTCTTAACATCTGCTTTATTATCATTATATAAAGTGTTTTGAGAATAACATTAAGAAGAATGGGTTGAGGATAAGGAGAAATCGATCGAAATATCAATAACATAGGCCTGCTCTTCTTAATGCATGTGACAGATCAATCCTGCTCACTGCGCACTTCCAGACATCACGTTTACCGCATTATTAAACGGCGCATCCAGAAATTCTGAATCTTTCCATATATGGCTTTGTTTCAAATCTTAATACGAGTTGAGTAGATTGGTAAAATTATTCAATATAATGCACTGCCTGCCTACACATTCTGAAACGAATTTAGTTTGAGTTTTTGGCGTGTCCCGTTAGAAAGTGTCACTGCTGTGGAAACATTAGGCACAAAGAGACGCTTGTGGAAAGTAACACTTCAGCGTTGTTTACAGTGGGGTAAACCGTCACGTTATTGCTGACTTGGTAATTTTGTTGGTTGCTTGAATGTAAAAGAGAGGTGTAATATAGCAGTCTTACCTTTAGTAGAATTACTGGAGTCTGTCCGTAATTGAGAAAAGCAAATGCAGAACGTTTCGCGTGGACAGGGCAACACCCCTCTGTTTGAGACAGACTGCTCAAATAATCCTCATAGGGGGGTGATCCTGCCTGGCATTTAAACCACTCCCATCTGACAACGGGACAAGGCAAATCACTGCCACCTACTGCACCACGTGGATACTACGCTCACAACTTCTCTAAACTTTAGCATGGTAACCATAGCTTCATCCAGCTCCAAATACAAGTTGTTCCTGTAACTATTTATTACTCACTTGTGGGTGTCATTTTCCAGTCATTTTCCAGTCTTGTTTTTTTCTGTCATTTTCAGTGATTCAGTTCTCGTGTGATGTCTGGCAACACGTTCATTGTTATTATTAATGTAACTAAATAATGTCATAGCTACAAAATAAATAAATAATTTAAATAATATTTTTCAACATAAATAGTACTGCAGGCTATAAGACAGATAATTTGGAGATAATTTATAGGTTATTACTTTAGCTGTACACACCTTGACTTTTCAAAAAAATACACAAACTGGCCACTTTATTAGGTACATCTTAGTAGTACTGGGTTGGATCCACTTTTGCCATCAGAACTGCCTTAATCCTTATGGCATAGTTTCAACAAAGTACTGAAAATACTCCTCAGAGATTTTGGTCCATATTGAGAGATGATAGCATTATACAGTTGCTGCAGTAGGAGTGGTACCCTGTGTGGTGTTCTGTTGCTGTAGCCCATCCGCCTCAAGGATGATTTGTTGTGCATTCAGAGATGCTCTTTTGCATACCTCGGCTGCAAGAAGTGGTTATTTGAGTAAATGTTGTCTTTCTATTAGCTCGAATCAGTCTGGCAATTCTCCTTTGACCTCTGGCATCAACAAGGCATTTGCGCCCACAGAACTGCTACTCACTGCATATTTTCTCTTTTTCAGACCATTCTCTGTAAACTCTAGAGATGGTTGCGTGTGAAAATCCCAGTAGATCTGCAGTTTCTTAAATACTCAGACCAGCCCATCTGGCACCAATAATAATCATGCCATGTTCAAAGTCACTTAAATATAATTTCTACCCCATTTTGATGCTCAGTTTGAACTGCAGCAGACCGTCTTGACCATGTCTACTGTAAAATGCCAAGTTGCTGCCAAGTCATTGTCTAATTAGACATTAGTGTTAACGAGCAGTTGAAAAAGTGTACTTAATAAAGTGGCCGGTAAGTGTAGTTATAGGGGATTTATTTAATATTTAGACTGTTGACAAGGACAGCATTTGCTGGGTAGATTTAAAAAAAATAGTAGCTGATTTTAGCATGTTAATTTCTGGTCATGTACTGGATAGGCACATCTTAGGACCAGAACATGAACAGCAAAGAACCAACTTAAGCCAATTTAAACCAGCAGTAATTGTTCAAAACATACCTAACCAGCATATGCTGTTTTTTCCCCAACAGTCTATAATGTAAATATATGCTTACCAGCAGTGTTGAGGAAAGTTACTTTTGAAAATAGAGCATTACAATTTGAGTTACTCCCCAAAAAAGTAACTAAGTTGCATTACTTAGTTGATTTTTAATGGTAATGTGTTATGTTACTTTTAAGTTACTTTCGCTACTTTTGCTTTGAGTTAATCTGTAATTAAATAAATAAATCTGACCATTTTTTAAATGTGGGCCGGTCAGCTATTTTTTTAATAATTTTTTTCAAATGTATTGTTTTTTTACATGTAAGCAGCTTTTATCTCTTGCAAGATGTGAATATGATGATGATGATGACGATGATGATAATAGTAAGAATATTAATCAATTTTAAGCATTGGCCCAATCAGCAACGAGAGATTACGCAGATTTAATCAAGATCTGCCAAGAATGTCCAACACACAGTAAGTGCAACAAATTGTCAGAGATAATAGAAGGGAAAGGCAGTCAAGTCAGGCAATGCCAAATACATAAAATTAACTGAACTAGTCTCGAAAGGGGGCAGTGCAGTGGCGCAGTGGGTAGCGCTGTCGCCTGACAGCAATAAGGTCGCTGGTTCCCTCAGCTGGGTCAGTTGGTGTTTCAGTGTGAAGTTTGCATGTTCGCGTGGGTTACCTTCTGGTTTCCTTCACAAGTCCAAACACATGCTATAGGTGAATTGGGTAGTCCAATTGGGGATTGGTTATCCCAGTAATGGGTTGCAGCGTTGAGGGCATCCACTGTGTAAAACATATGCTGGATAAGTTGGTGGTTCTAAAGATTAATAAAGGGACTAAGCGAATGTGCGTGTCCAAGGGTGGGGCTGTGTCGGTGTGGTAATGTGGGCTGGTGTGGCTACAATGCCAGGGCAGATTTTTAGTCCCAGTCCGCCCCTGTACACACTATATATCCTACTCTTTCATGTGCCTTAAAAAACATATTATAACAGTAATTTAGCATAATGTTATCTTCTGAGAAGTGCTGACCCCAGAGCTATACATGTCATATATACAGATTAAAAAAAGTTTTGTGCCATTTTCTCTTGTTAGTTAAGTAAAATCACTGTCAATTGAGACAATTTCCTTTCATTTTCTTCGAAAGTTCAAAATGCTGAGATTATAATATTAAATAATGTAAAGCTCTATCCTGCTATTGTGGTTTATATCTGTTCCAGCAGTGACCATATTCTCTCACTGATTGTGTAATTCAATGTGACTACATTAATATTAATTTAGCAATTTTAAAAGCAAAACTAATTGAACTAAAAAGTGACATTTTTAAAAAGGTAACTCAAATAGTACTATTAATGTAGAGCTTCTACATTCAGTACATTCCTCAGGAAACATCCATATTGACTTGATTGCGTGTGAGAATTGAGATTTGGTGACTGCGGAGTGCATTTAAGTTATTGAATTCATTGTCATATCTTAGAAACCAGTTTCAGATGATTTGAGCTTTGTGACTTGGCACATGAGCGTCACGGTGGCGCAGTGGGTAGCATGATCCTTTCACAGCAAGAAGGCTGCTGGTTCGAGCTTCGGCTGGGTCAATTGGCATTTCTGTGTGGAGATTGCATGTTCTCCCAGTGTTCACGTGAACACACTGAAACAATTGTTATTAGGAACCCAAAGTGTTTTAGAAAAAAATATCCCCACACCATTACACCACCAGTTGTGAGACCAGATATCACAAAAGATTGAATCACTGAAAATTATTGAGAAAACAAAACAAAAACAGACTGGAAAGCAACACGCACATTCAAATGAGCAATAAAAATAGCGTTACTGCAACAATAATATCTGCAATAACTTGTATTTTGGAGGAAGCTATGGTAACCATGCAAACATAGCTCACTAGGTGGCAGTGTTTTGCTGGTAACTGTTTTGAACGACGCACATTTGGTACTAAGGAGCCCAGTTGGGTGCCCAGAAAAATTTCTTTCACACATTACACCACCAGCAGCCTGAAACGTTTATACAAGGTAGGAATGGTACATACTTTTGGGGTGTTGATGCTAAATTCTGACCCTGCCGTGCAGAATTCACAAATTAAACAGACGCATGAGACCAGGCTTTGTCCAATCTTCTGTTGTTTGGCTGTAACTGTAACCTCAGTTTTCTGGTTGGAGCTGACAGGATTGTCACTATTTTTTGCTGCAGTTTAGCTCATCTGCTTCAGTGTTTGTTGTGTTAAGTAATCAAATGCTCTTTTGCTGACCACAGTTGTCGCAAGTCGTTATTTGAGAGACTGTTGCCTCTTTCTATCTTCTCAAACCAGACTGGCCATTCTTCTCTGACCCTTGGTATAAATGAGACATTTTCGGCATAGAAATGGTGCTCACTGAATCTTTTTTTTTCTGACCATTATCTGTGAACCTTAGAGATATTTGTGCGTTGAAATACCAATAAATCTGCAGTTTCTGAAATAATAAACTAGCCTGTCTGGCACCAACAAACATCTATTCTTTTTAATCACATTTCTTCCCCATTCTGATGGCATATTGTCCTAACAATGTCTGCATACTATAAAGCAGTGAAATGCTGTCATGTGATTGACTGATACAATTATAGTGTTAACATGAAGTTGAACAGGTGTACCTGTTGTTCCTAATGTGTATGTGTAGTGTGTAATGTGTAGTGGTACATATTGTGTATTAAGGCTGCACGATATTGGAAAAACTCTAACATTGTGATATTTTTTTATTTTGTCAAATGTATTGAGAAATAATTACAATCTCACCAGATGATTTAATATTTCTATTTGGAAAGAATTTATAATATTAGATCATCTGGGATGATTCTGAAGTGGGATTTTATCTCTATAAAATCGAATAAACAATCTATACAAATTTTATGGTCCCCCAACACATTTTCGTTCTGTGCTATTTGCTGTGCATTTCTGTCTTTGCATGTTGTGAGTATTTCTATGCACTTGTTTAGTCAGAGATTGATGAATTAATGTTTACTATTTGCATCTCCATAAACTCTAATAAACAATTTGTAAACTTTTTGGGGATTTCCCAATCCCCAGACACATTTTTGCTGTGGCCTGTACATGAGTAACAGTATTCAAGTACAATAAATGATCAAAATAAAAGTCATTCAATAAAATTAATAGTTAAGGTCACTAGTGGTACAATATCTTATACTTGAATGCTTTTAAAGTCATTAAACAATCATAGGCATCAAAACCATGTGCAAATGATAAATTATAGTACAATCTCAGCATTGCATATCCTGTGATGTGACTATTGCAAATGATTACATTGTGATATCTGAGATGAAATAATATACTGTGCAGCCCTAGTATTGTATTATAATATTGGAATACTATTTATACTTATCTTTAAAACACATATAAAAATAAATTTAGGAATTTGTGATGATTTCAGGTTCACCTTCATCAAAAAGTTGTTGGGAGAACAAAAATAAAATTTTATGTTAATCTGAGCTATTGATTAAAGAAAAAGAATTTGAGAAAAAGGACTTTTGTAGATGTTGGAACAAGTCCAATAAACCTTGTAATTTGTATTATTGATATGAATTTCTTTTCCAATATTAATATAATCTCCCTTTGGCAGCAGCTGGGGGGAGAACAGCTTATCATTAATATATTAATGGTGGGAGTAATTTAAAAAGTCAGCAAATTTTATATC